ATCTGAGTAACCACACACTCTAAAACTGTTCTCGCTCGGCTCCTTCTGTTTTTTTTCAGTCATGCAGTTTTGAGCACAGAGAAAAGTGAAGCACATGATTGTAGATCCTGACTGATATCAGCACAAACACAAATAAACAGATACAGATTACAAAGCTGACAGTAACAGAAAATATCCTCAAACTTCACTTCTGCTGCTACAAGAGAAGAGAGTGCAGTGTTAGTGATTGTTGGGGTCAGTAACTGAGAAGTATCTGACTTCAGAGTAAACACTGTCTCCAGAGGGTCCACTCTTCACTCTCAGGCTTTTGGCTGCATAATTCAGCTCCACAGCAGCAGAGTCCTGTAGAGATGAATATGAAATATTAAAGGCTGAAGATTAGAGAACTCTATGGGAATTAAGCAGTGTCAGTGTGAATGAGAGAACATGTAGTACCTGACTGGGTTTGTTCTCCACCACCAAATCATGATCTCTCACTATGATGGAATAAAGAAAGATTATGCTGAGTGTGTTTACATGCATTTAAAAATCCAATAACTGCAGAAAAACAGAGTTTGTCAGTAATTTAATCAACACGTTTTTGATCGGATTTGATCAGATCGGTTCTGACCAAGCGCATGTAAAAATCGGTTGGCTTTTTATGTACAAAATATATTATTATTATTATTATTATTATTATACACATAAGCACAATGTAAACACTGGAAATACTGGAGAGGGTGATAAAATAAACTATACAAACATTTATTATGAGTTTTCTATTGTTGTGAAGTTGTAAAGTTTTATATGAGTGTATATGTGAGACAAAAATTATACAAAAAACAGTAATGTTTATTACCTCTCACTGCTAAGAATGTGCCATTAGAAAATGTAATGTTTTTTTTTGTTTGTTTTGTTTTTGTTTTTTTTATCTAGTGATTGACTGAACTTTACTGCCACTTCCTGAGGTTCCTGTCCTGATCTTTATTTGTACCAAACCCAAATGTTTTGAGCAAACTGTTCCACAAATTTGCAGTGTAGAGTATCATTTTTACCAGACTCAGCTGAGACAAATGATGCCTCAGAAAGATTCACAGCTTGAAATCTGTGCAGAATCTATAAAAAATAGAAAAATAGAAAATAAATAGAATCAGATCAGAGCTCAGCTGATAAAGAAAATAGCAGATGACATTTCAGCATGCAGTTAAACAAACCCAAAAATTAAGAATAATTCAGGATCCTAACCTCATAAACTTACATATCATTACATCAAGATGTAAAATGTGCTTAGACAAAAAAAAACAAAAAAAAACCTGCCCTCTGCTGAACAAAGTGGGTGTAGCATGAAAAGTGGTAATGCAATAAATCTTTTTGGCTGTTTTTGTTATGTTATACAGGCATAAAATTGAATAAATAAAGTGGTCATAGGCATTTTAGAAACATTGACATTTCTTTCATAAAATAATTTTGATGTACATTTACCTTCTGACTCCAGAGTACCTCAAGTACCAGTACCAGAGACTGTTGGAGCAGGAAACAGTCTTGGGCTGAGAGGCCTGTAGCATGTAACTCACGTGCATTCTCCTATTGAAGGGTCATATTACAATCAAATGAAGCAGTTTTCCTGTCTGACCTTTCCACAATAATTGATAATCACTGATTGCATTCACAAGACAATGATGATCACATTCATTAGTCAATAGCATGTTCAGTGATCAGCATTTTACTTTCTTATAGTCATTAAAACAGGTAATACTAAAACATATGAAATGTCTCTAATAGTACAAGAATTAGCAGTCGGCCCATTTAGAGTTGAGCTTTTAGAAAATAGTACAGAAGCACCTTGTGGAACTCTGTGTACTTCACTCACCCACTCACTCACTCACTCACTCACTCGCTCAGACACTCACTCAATCACTCACACACTCGCTCACTCACTCACTCACTCAGTCAATCAGCCATCCAATCTAAGATTTTCCACAAGAGGGAGCTTTTAGCTCTCAAGCAGGTTTCTGATTTATATAATTCACGTTAGATTTTGCCAGAACTTTCACCAAACCTCACCGTAAAAAAATGCAAAAATTGACTTTCATGTGACCTGTGTATTTTTTTAGGGCCCAAATCATGGAAAACTGAATTTGTCAACTTTCACTCTCCAGCCCATACAGTCCATACATGGAAAAAAAAGCTCTGTTTTTGTGACCAACACATTTAATATATCTGTCCAATTAGCCCTGTCCATTAATGCTGAAGATATAAGGAGTATTTTAGCCTGGACTGCTTTCTGTATGAGGTAAAATACAGGACAACCAATTAGAACATAGATCATTTACATATATCAATCTCAAAGGCACAGTCTGTTTAATTCTAAGGGATGAAGAGAGGTTGGAAAATACTTATATAAAAATGGACTATGACTGTTTTGAGTACATAAAACCACACATGTGTAATAAGTGGACTTCACATAAAAAAGAAATACAATACAGGACAAATGTAGGATATGGGCCCTTTAATAAAGAAGAGAAAAAGCAGGATAATGATCATAAAGTTAACCTAGACACCCTAGAGGGGGTTAGTCATGCATAGGGCCAGCTGTAGCCTTTTGAGGGCCCTAAGCAAATGTCACCCCCCCACACACAAATTGATGTAATGTGAAATCATAGCATAACCGATTACAATAATTATAATTTTGTTGACATCTTAGTGAATGAACTAAATGAAAATCAGTTGAATTTCCCTTTAAGGGAAAATAACAAAGAAAATCTTAAAAAGAATCATTTCTGACATTAGAAACTAACTCTAATATTCAGGAGGCATATATAACCAGTATGTATTAGAAAATGAATAAAATATATTGACAAATTGTAAACAAATAAATAAGTTAATTACTTTTTTGAAGTATTTCAGTAAAAGTAAACATTAAATGAAGGCAACAGTTTTAATTTAGGTGAATATTATGTAGTTATAAAAAACATGGAAGAATAAAGCATTAATGGTTCAGCTCTTCCCTACACAGACATTTATTCTAATGACTGACCATCTCATAAAGACCCTCCTCTCACTGATAATTACGTATTGCTAGGCATCACTAGTTTATGCTTTTTTAATAAGAATAGATGTTCTATTTATGTTAAAGTTGAGAAACACAAACACGTGACACAGTTTTATTTTCAGTCAGTTTCTTGGTTATCAGAGTACCTGACTCCACCTCCTCCACCACATCGAATGTGCAGATAATGATGCACTGCAGGTAGAACTTCTCTAAGTTTTGCTTCTATTAGAAATAAATAAAAGAAAATTCATGGGTTACAATTAATAAGTTACAGTTAATGAGTTACTCTGCGGTCATTAACAGAGGAGCCCCTCACTGCAGAATACAGAGTGTCTTCTTGTGGCTGTTCTCATTTCCCTCTTCCTCTTTTAGTTTTCCTTTCATGGAAACTTAAGGTTGCATAATTCAGCTCCTCAGCTTCATCATCCTGCAGGAACAGACATGAGAGTTTAAATAAGAGCTCTTATATATCATTGGTTTTGTACATGTAATGTCAGTAATAATGGCACTAAAGCAGTACCTGTTTGGTCGTCGTCTCTTTGACTGAAACTTTAAGCTTCTCTGCAGAATTACAAATACAAGCAGGTCAGAATCTTTATCTTTATCATGTTTGTTGCATTTTCACACAAACATTACCATTAAAAGTTTTGAATCACTGTTTTTAATAACACAGAATCAGTTTGTTTGCAGATGTGTAAAAAATGAGTGTAATATGTTAGTTAAAAAAATAAGAAATGTGTCCAGAATGATGAATGTAGCTGTAAATTAATGTAAAATGACTGAAAAAGCTGTATCAAAAACATCAAAAATTGATTATAAAATTACTATCCAGAATTCATATTGAAAAACTGTAGATCAAATCTCATCAGATAACCTGACCGAAAAATCAATGTATGTAGATAATTACTAATTACTAATTATACATTATTTATCATTAAATAATGTCTTGTTCACATAAGTTTTCTTACTGATATAAATTTCTTAAAGTGTTTTCTGAATAAACTGTAATATTTAAATCCTCATTGTATGAGTTATTATTGCATATAAAATAATAAACCTTTCCAATTTTTTTAAATGTAATGCACAAGTATACTTGCATTTACATTGTAACAAGCATTTATTTACTTAAGTACAAGTTAGTTTAGGGTTAGGGTTCCAAATAGTTTCTGGTAATGTTGTCTTTTACAATCTCCTCAATTCTAGGTATTAAGCATGCAATACGATTCACAGTAATACTTGTGGTTAACATGATGGTGAGTTCCAAGATGATTTCTTTAATTTACTCTAAAAATAGCTAACGGGTTCTAGCTATTTACTGGATGAGCTCCAATGTTCTAGATAATTACTATGGAAAAGATTGTGATATGTACTATGACTAATTTACACCAAAATGCTTAAGTTCTAGCCTTTAATTTGAAAAAAAAAATATGTAGTTAAATATATAACAACTGGATAATAATTGTAATCTCACACATTGAAGCAGGAAAGTAAATCAGAAAAATCAGAAAAATGTAAATAGTAAATATCCAGTAAAACCACAGCAAGAAATATTGTTTTGTTAAAGAGGCCAGATTCAGTTTCATTTTTAGGTTACAGTCAGGTACATAATACATAATACTGTTTACCTCATAAAACTACCTACAACTGACAGAGAAATGTTCATTTTCACATTACAGTTAAATTGTTTGTTAAAGTGTTTCTCTTTATCACCTTGTTACTCCAAATAAATATCTAATTATGAGTATTTTACTGTGGCATTTCTCTGCATATTTATGCACTACAGTGTAATTTAATCATTATTTTACCCAAAATAGTTACACAGCACTGTGGAGTTTGTAGCTCACAATAACACAGTTAATATCTGCAAGCTGGAATTTACCATCATGTTGCCTAAAATAAATACCCAGAACTTTGGAGTTTGTACCAAACACTTAACCTGTTACCTGTACTTTGAATTTAGATGACTGTAAAAGAAAGTGTTTTCTAGTTTTTGAGTTGGATGCAGCAGAATTTCTCATATAATGTATCACTTTGATGAAAAATTGAGGATTTTGTTTTGTGACTGTAGTGAAAACTCACCACTGCAGTGTTCACAGTTTCTCCTTTTACAGTTTAAAATGGTTTGGACAGAGATCACAACCACACACACTCCTAAAGCTGCTCCCAGACAGATCACTACAGGATCCAGAGGCCGTGCTGAAGAACATGAATGATCAAAATTATAGACACCTTCAATCACTATCAAATATGAATATAAAATTCAATGAATAATCAGGCGCACTTGGGCAGTGTACGCGTCTCACAGCAGGTTCTGCACATCTCCAGAAAACATCTTCACATTAGCTTTTTAAGTGGAGCTGTTTTCACCACACCTGTTTTTGTTGTTGTTTGGGCTCAAATGACATTTTGTTGGTTTTTTTAACTTGAAAATAAGTTAAAACATCTACAGAGAAAACACTTCTGCACATATTAATACATAATAATTTGTTTGTTTATTTGCTGAGTTTAACATATTGAAAAAATAAAACATAATATATAACCTGTGCAAAAGTTAAAAAAAAAAAATAAATCTGCAGTAAAATTTACAGAGAAGAGGCACATTTAAATGTGTTCTCTGTAGAGGATGTGTTCATGTATTTTTAACAAAACATGCAAGGGTGAGCAGGGTGTTCAAACTTTTGCAAATGGCTGTTTTTACAAAGTGCCTGAAGTTTGCAAAATGAGTTAACAAACACTTCAGACTCTCTCACTTATGACTGTTGTTAACATTAGGAAGATTAGGAAGGAACATTTTTCTTCTCTTCACTATGATCTATGACCTCATAGTGAGAGGTAATGCAAAGGTTAGTCTCCTTAGTTAGCACTCCAGTGATGTAAAAAGTCACAGATGACCATTTAGCAGTCGTTTGTTTTTTAAACAAAAAGGAAAGGAGGTCATGGTGAAATAATTTTCCACAGGTGGCAGTGATTACAGCACACAGACAAGAAATATTGTTGTATCTAAATGCTTTTCTTTAAATAAATATATTTATATTGAATAGTTTTACTGAACACTTACTCAGTTCTACTACTGTTACATTTCCAAAAATGACCTTTCCACAAGCAGCCACAGCGCAGTAGTAAGTTCCAGTATGGTGGTGGTCGAGGATGTTCTTGGAGAAGTTGTACACAGAGCTGTTTGTAGAAGAGCTGATCTCACACTGACGGCTGCTGCTGTTCAGATGAGTGTAAACGATTTCAGGAAAGGATTGTCCTGCAGCAGCTCTGAACCAGAGCACTCAGAGTTCTGCTGCTCTGATCTCAGAGAGGACTGTGCACTGCAGAGTGACCGACTCTCCTGGAGAAACTGACCCCTGTACTGGAGTTTGGAGCACTGAGAAGTTTAACTCAGGATAACCTATTAAGAATATAAAATTTAAAAGATATTGTTTCACTTAAAGTGTGAAAATAAACTACCCAGCACTGATACATAAATCACATGGAGTCACATTCTTGCTATATAACTTGCTAGTGTGTAGCATAAAAACCTGTGACTGACAATACTTTGACAAGATACAAGCAAAATCAACGATCTATTCTCTGTATTTACAGTCGTTATGTTAGAAATATACCATCATTAAGATAATGTTTCCCAGCCCTGATCCCTCACTGCTCTAACACACCTTATGCTACTAATCAGCTCATTAACAAGTGCTGACTGAGTGGAAGTGAAAGTATTAAACTGTGCAGGACAGTGACCTCCAGGACCAAAGCTGGGAAACACTGCACTACAGAGGTCAGATGGCTGTGGTCAATTTAATTCAGAAATGTACTCTTCATTACAGCAGTGCTGAGATTTACTCACCCAGAATCATTTTGAGGCCAAGGAATCTAATTTTACGTCATGTAATTTTATGTTATGTAATTTTATGTGACCTGTATGTTTATATTAAGTTTTGTAAGAAAAGTTCTAAAAAGTAAATGATTATGAGGTGGTCTGGAGAGAACTTTTGCTGTTGAGAAGAAGTGCAAATTTAAATAATGTAAAGTTAGACTTTAGGGGGAAGATGTCCCCACAGAAAAGAAGTGAAAGACCCCCGTTTAGCATGTTGCCCAAAAAATATTACTTAGATTTTTATCATTAAGACACAAAGTTGTTCACTGGAGTTTGACTGACTAGTGTTACATGCTAGTTATTGACCGTTAGCTAAAATTGGACAACATGCTTAAATTTTCTACCACACTTTAGTTGTCTTGCTGATTTTTATGTGAGTTTTGAAGCTCAGTTATATTATCTGATCTGTTCTATCATGTTTAATAATCATTGACCACTTAACCCTCCTTTTATATTTGGGGCCAATTTGACCCCACTCAATGTTTAACGTCTTTAAATAAATGATTGACATCATTTTCTAGCTTCACATTTAATGACTCTACCTAATTTAATGGGGACAACTGGGTAAACATAAAATTAACATGATGATATGTTTTCAATGTCCTGTACACATGTTGTACTCATCGGTGTCCTTTAGGTCAATTTGACCACAGGCTGTTTTAGCTGACTTTAGGGCCCTAACCTAACATAACCATATCTGTAGTAGTGTGAGAACCACTGACAGTTTACACAACATGGGGGGAGGGGAAAACATCATTCTCGTCAGAACTTTGGTATTTCCCATGCTGAGGGGGCGGGAAAATATGGTTTCTGCGAAGATATTGATAGTTCACACAACATAGGGGTGGAGCAAACACATAAAAGTTTGGCACAGCAGCCTTCTAAGCCATGTCTCTTGGTACTCTGTGTGCTCTCTCTTTCTGCTCTCTTTCATGGTCAAAGAGATGTGACAACACCAAACTGGCCAAATACGGTATCAAATACAGGCCACATTTGATGCACAGTCCAGCTATGCCTGGAATATTCAGGTGTACACTGGAAAATCCTCTGGAGAAGCACCTGAAAAAAATCAGGGTATGAGGGTGGTACTTGACATGGCTGAAGGACTGAATGGTCAAAACGTTACATGTGATAATTTTTTCACATTGTACGCCCTGGGTGAAGAACTGCTAAAAAGGAAGGGGTAACACTTTACATTAAGGGTCGCTAATCAATCATTAAATATATAATAATCAGCTATTAGTTTCCCATTAATCAGTTATTATTTAACTCTTCATTAAGCATTAGCTATTACTTAGTAATTGATTAAGCACTTATCAATTAGTAATTAAGTATACTGTTAGTTGATAAGTTAGTTTGTCGTTAGTTTGTGGCTTACTTACTCATTATCTGTGTGCTAATTGCTGCTTATTACATTGTTAATTAACTAATAAGTATTTTCTTCATATAAAGAAGTAATGTGATAACTTACTAGCACTTATGTGTTAATCCTGCTAATTATCTGTTAATTAACTTTCCATCACCTCCATATATTCAGTTGCTTCACTTTTCTCACTTTAGTTCTTGTTCATTAAAGATGCTTATGGTCACATCTGACCGTAAGATGAGCGCACACAAATTCATGGACGGTTTTGTTATTCATCACGTTCATCTTGGCATATCTGTACTCATATCTGGTAGGAGTGCATGTAAATTTGGGCATAAATGCTGGACATGTGGCTAATTAACCAAAACTATTATCAACATAATCTGTAATTGCAAAAATAAGAACAACAATAGAAAATTTCAATAATACTAATTTGTGTGCATGACAGTCCAGTACAAAAGTGGATGTACTTACTTTACATGCACATTGATATAAACAAGTGCTGCAACTATTTCATGTTCCATTTAAAGACACATTACACTGTGCTTTTGTTTCATACTACTGACTCACAAACACAGCTTCAGTCATACACTGCAATAATACAGCGTTTATTTTAAGGAATTAATTACACTAAACAGTCACTCTACTATGATAACAACACTGAGTATTTTGTTTTATTTCACATTTTATTTTTTCCAGTTGTTTTCATTTTAATACTAGTAAGTTTGGTCAGCAGGGGAGGAGTGCACTCACTGCTGGACATCAAACTCCACCCACGAGCACGGCCATTAGCTTTCATGCCAAACACTGCCATTGGCTGGCTACTGAAACATCTGCATGAATTAGTGTGTGCTTTATGTAAATGATATGTAAATGAGGTGCTGGTAGGCTGGTTTCATGCACTGAAGCTGATTTATTATTTATGCTCAAATCTCCACTTGTTTCCACATCATACAAAATTGTTATGAATCAGACGCAGAGCAGTTCATACCTTATAAAAGGCAAAAAAAAGTGTTTTTTTTTTCACAAGATTCGTTTTTCACAAGATTCGTGATTACTTCCGGTTTAAAGACCTGATCTATTGTTTAACAAGAAATTATATTTAAAACAAGATTATTTTGGAACTGTTGGAGAAATTCAGTCGCCTCTCAGTAGGAAATGATCATGGTCAGAGAGACCTGTAGATTCCTTATGTTCATTTTCCTAGTGAAGGGTCATATTACAATCAAGGGAGGCAGTTGTCCTGTCTGACCTTTCCACAGTCATTGATAATTATTGATCACATTCACAAGACATCAATAATGTTTTTATATTGTAAATGAATCTCTGACCATTCTGTTTACCTCTGTCTACTTACAGAATGACTGTATCTGAGTGTTTGTCCCAAAATTAAATTCCAAAATGTATTTCAGCTTTGAAAAATCAATATCTATTTCATTTTTTTTTAATTATTATTTCCTCCAGTTGTCGTTTCAGTTCAAATAGGTATTTTGGAAAGTTATTCAGTTAAAACGGCATAAAGAATGTTTCAATTGCAAGTAAATATAATTCCATCAGAGCATGTCATGTTAACATTTGACAGAGCAAAGTGTACCTGCTTGAGGAACTCTCTGTGTCCAGAGAGTGATTTCCACACTTAAGTATGATATTATTTGGCAAATTATTTGCAAATTTTAATATGTTGAAAAAACTAAAACAAAAAATCTAATATGTGCCATAACTTTTGCATGTGCACTGTTTGTATTTTTAAAAATGTTTGTATTACTTTTTCCAAAATATGTTAAATTCAGAAAATAAACCATGATTGTGCCTTAAAATCTGCAGAAGTGTGCATTCTGTAATATATATATATATATATATATATATATATATATATATATATATATATATATATATATATATATATATATATATAAACACAAAGCTTTACTTTAAACTAATTATATGGAAATTCTCACTATTATGTGAAACACATCTTCTACATTTTCATCAACACAATATCAGACACCATCTAAGCTCATGAGACTCACACATGTGAGATGTGTGAGTAACCACACACTCTAAAACTGTTCTCACTCGGCTCCTTCAGAGAACTGACACTTCATACCAAACTGGACTGTTTTTTTTTCAGTCATGCAGTTTTGAGCACAGAGCAAAGTGAAGCACATGATTGTAGATCCTGACTGAAATCAGCACAAACACAAATAAACAGATACAGATTACAAAGCTGACAACAACAGAAAATATCCACAAACTTCACTTCTGCTGCTACAAGAGAAGAGAGTACAGTGAGTCAGTGATTGTTGAGGTCAGTAACTGAGAAGTATCTGACTTCAGAGTAAACACTGTCTCCAGAGCGTCCACTCTTCATTCTCAGGCTTTTGGCTGCATAATTCAGCTCCACAGCAGCAGAGTCCTGTAGAGATGAATATGAAATATTAAAGGCTGAAGATTAGAGAACTCTATGGGAATTAAACAGTGTCAGTGTGAATGAGAGAACATGTAGTACCTGACTGGGTTTGTTTCCCACCACCGAATCATGATCTCTCACTATAATGGAATAAAGAAAGATTATGCTGAGTGTGTTTACATGCATTTAAAACTCCAATAACTGCAGAAAACAGAGTTTGTCAGCAATCTGATCAACATGTTTCTGATTGGATTTGATCAGATCGATTATGACCAAGTGCATGTAAAACTCACAGAAGAAGACAAAGTATTTATCAACTTCTTTGCATCATGTAATGTGAGATCAGGCCTGACCAAAAGTTTTATTTTGTTGTTATTTATTTATGTATTTATTTATTTATTTGTTTGTTTGTTTGTTTGTTTGTTTGGTGCTGTTAATGTTGCAGTCTAGTAACACAACATTTAAAAATGCATAATCAGTCATTATTTACAAAAGCACAATAACACCATATATAACAGATTAAGCTACACTCACCACTGCAGTGTTGAATGGCTTGAGCGCAGATCACAATCACACAGATTCCCAAAGCTGCTCCCAGATACAACACAGTGGGGTCCACAGGACCCCCTGCAAGATATAAATGATCAAACCACTGTAATATTTACTTTCTTTTAAGTTCAAAGCAAACACTGACTGTTACATGTTATTGCACCACCAGTACATTAATAAAACTTAATGACATCAATAAAATATGAATGATGCTCAAATAAAAATATAGATGCAATTTCCTGTGTTTACTGTGTTGCCAAAATGCTGTTCACTGTAACTCCAATGATGTCTAATTCATGATGACATCCAAGTTAACAAATTCAGCTCTAGAATACAGTCAGATATGGAATAAATTTGGAATTTGTGATTTACCGTTATTGCATTATTGCTCAAAGGACAACAGCTTCATAGCACTTAAAGTATACAGGTACACAACACAAAGCAGACAAACAGGCTTACCTAATTGTACTGATGATCCATTGCCAAAAATGATCTTCCCACAAGCAGCCACAGCGCAGTAGTAAGTTCCAGTATGGTGCTGGTCGAGGATGTTCTTAGAGAACTCGTAAAGAGAGCAGCTTGTAGAACAGCTGATCTCACACTGACGGCTGCTGCTGTTCTGATGAGTGTAAATGATTTCAGGAAAGGATTGTCCTGCAGCAGCTCTGAACCAGAGCACTCGGAGTTCTGCTGCTCTTATCTCAGAGAGGACTGTGCACTGCAGAGTGACTGACTCTCCTGGAGAAACTGACCCCTGTACTGGAGTTTGGAGCACTGATATGTCTGACTGAGGTTGACCTGGTGAATATAATAATGGCATTTCGGTTTCCCACATGACCATTCAGTTTGTTCAGTATTAAACATTTTATTTCGTTAAATGTGGTTATACTGCAGCACTGATTGTTGGATTGATCAGTGTAATAGGTTTAAATTAAGGGCACCAATATGTTTAATTGCCCTGGAAAATCTAATATATACAATAACCCTGACATAGTATGTATATGTATGATATCAGTAATGATAACATTATAATAAAAGTAAAACATTGAAACAGCACTGTGTCTATTATGCTAAGTGTAACATTGACATCTAATGGATATTTTAAAACTAAGTATCACATTTATACTAGAATCGATATTATTAAGGTCAGTAGCAACAATGTATTTGAGACTGGCCTCAGATAACAGATTTTAAGAAAAAAATTAACTTTACACGTTAAGAACACTGGAAACAATAAATTATTTATATTACCTGTGACAGCTAAGAATGTAGCATTACAAAAGTTCATTGTTTTCTCTCCTGCCGCTGCACAGAAGTACATTCCTTCATCTTCTTTAGTGACACGTTCAATACTGAGAGAAATGCCACTCGCAATTCTGTCTATTTTAAATCTTGATTGGTCGAAAGGAGCTGAAATTATTGAGTCCCTATTTTTAAACTTTGACCCCACTTCCAGTGGAGCATGCTCCAGTCTTTGTTTGTACCACATCCTAACATCTGCATCTGAGTCATCTACAGGTGGGCAGTTGAGAGTGACTGCTTTACCGGGCTCAGCTGAGATGAACAACAGCTCAGAATTTCTCACTGCTTGAACAGAATCTGTAAAGAAAAGTTTAATCTATTTAATCAAAGCTTAGTCAATGAGAAAAATACGGATGAGATGTAAAACAAGCAGAAATAACAATACTAAATGTAAAAAATATTTTTTTGAGTAACTTATGAAACTTACATATCTTGTAGAGAAGTAAGATGATAATCACAGCTGGAGGCATTGTCAGAAAAACAACAGCTATAACTTGAAACTTGAAGGCAGATGTGTAGGCAAAGGTGTAACTGAGTAAAGCTTCAAACTGTATGAGCTTGCTGGGGTCTTAAACTGAACCTCATTGGCTGGTAAAAGTCACATGGTTCTTTCTGTCTGCATGACATGTTTGGCCACAAAAATGTTCCTATTGGCTCCTTCTATGCCAGTATAATTAGTAATAGTTTTGTTTCCTGAAAAAACATTCTGTGATATTACTGATCTTACTGACTGAAACGTTTACAGCCTCTGTAGAAAAAACAGGCGAATGTAAGAAAGCTACTATATTTCCTTGGGAAGGTTTCAAGACCTGATCTATTGTTTAATAGGTAATTATTAAATAAAAATAAGGTTATTTTGGTACTGTTGGGGCAATTCAGTTGTCTTTAGTAGGAAACAGTCATGGTCCGAGATGCCTGTAAAAGTAACTTATGTTCATTCTCCTATTAAAGAGTCATATAACACTTAAGTGAGGCAGTTGTCCTGTCTGACCTTTCCACAGTAATTGATAATTATTGATCACGTTCACAAGACATCAATAATGGTTTTATACTGTAAATGTATTTCTGACCATTCTGTTTACCTCTGTCTACTTACAGAATGACTGTATGTTTGTTTGTCCCAGGAACGGCCTTAGACTTTTTTCTATATTTTATTTTCAATAAAATTCAATATTTACAAAATCTTCAGAACTTTGCCTTTCATGTAAACAAAAATGACTTTAGATAATGCCTTAAAATAATATTTTATATGAAGGTTAGTAATAAGTCAATATGTAGTCAAAGTCCAATGCTGAATGTATGAGATATTAACATTAACAGTACATCATCAGGTAGCATTTTATAAATGATAAATCCAGGGTGACCATGTAAAGAGTCCAGTACCATATTGAGTCAAATTCAGTGTTGAAATAATAATCTGCAGAAATGAATTTACAGTCTGATTTTTAATGAAAATGAATAAAGATATGCTGTGTAGGAAATACCTATCATGTTTGGTGATACACACTGACATTAATTCAGCAGAAATATGTAATAAAGTATAAATGAAACCTTTTAAGTAGACATCTACTTTTCATTTCAGAATATTTTATTGCAATTATTTTAAAGACACATTTCAAACATTTACACTTCATAAACGTCATTGCATGCATAGTACAGAAATATGGCGTGATTGTGTGGAGGCACAGCACGTTATAAAAAACAATTGTGTGCTTACCATTAGGATTAAATTCCAAAACATATTTTGGCTTTGAAAAATCAATATCTATGTATTTTTTTTAAAGTTATTATTTCCTCCAGTTATTTTTGTTTGAGTTCAAATAGGTCCAAAATGGCAACTTATTCAGTTAAAATGGCATAAATAATGTTTCAAATACAAATAAACATTATATATATTGCTGCTGTTGGAAGAAAACCTCGTATCTCCATTTTTGTCATTATTAAGTTTTTGACGTAATTTAAAAATGCCTATTGCTCTTTACATTGTGTGTAAATTTCATGAAGAATTGACCAAAATACATGACCAAAAATTACCTAAAAAGGATGGTTCCATTGATTTATATCAAAAGTAAAGTATGTTTTTTTTTCCTTTTCCTGTAAAGTTAGCATTTTGGACATATGAGGTTTTCTTCCAAAGACAGTGATATTCAGATTTTAAACTGGTGTACTTTGAATATCATAAACTACAGTTTAAAGCATCAGAAATAATCTGTAAAGGCCTGAAGAGTGATCACAGCTTAACTTTAAACTAATTATATATGGAAATTCTCACTACTATCTGAAACACATGTTCTACATTTCCATCAACACAATATCAGACACCATCTGAGCCCATAAGCGTGTTTGCCACACGTGAGATGTGTGAGTAACCACACACTCTGAAACTGTTCTCGCTCTGCTCCTTCAGAGAACTGACACTTACCAAACTGGACTGGACAGTCACGCAGTTTTGAGCACAGAGCAAAGTGAAGCACATGATTGTAGATCCTGACTGAAATCAGCACAAACACAAATAAACAGATACAGATTACAAAGCTGACAGTAACAGAAAATATCCTCAAACTTCACTTCTGCTGCTACAAGAGAAGACAGTCCAGTGAGTCAGTGATTGTTGGGGTCAGTAACGGAGAGGTATCTGACTTCAGAGTAAACACTGTCTCCAGAGCGTCCACTCTTCATTCTCAGGCTTTTGGCTGCATAATTCAGCTCCACAGCAGCAGAGTCCTGTAGAGATGAATATGAAATATTAAAGGCTGAAGATTAGAGAACTCTATGGGAATTAAACAGTGTCAGTGTGAATGAGAGAACATGTAGTACCTGACTGGGTTTGTTCTCCACCTCTTACTATGATGGAATAAAAAAAGATTATGCTGAGTGTGTTGACATCCATTTAAAACTCCAATAACTGCAGAAAACAGAGTTAGTCAGCAATCTGATCAACATGTTTCTGATTGGATTTGATCAGATCGATTATGACCAAGTGCATGTAAAACTCACAGAAGAAGACAAAGTATTTATCAACTTCTTTGCATCATGTAATGTGAGATCAGGCCTGACCAAAAGTTTTGTTTTATTGTTATTTATTTATTTATTTGGTGCTGTTAATGTTGTAGTCTAGTAACGCAACATTTAAAAATGCATAATCAGTCATTATTTACAAAAGCACAATAACACCATATATAACAGATTAAGCTACACTTACCACTGTGGTGTTGAATGGCTTGAGCACAGATCACAATCACACAGATTCCCAAAGCTGCTCCCAGATACAACACAGTGGGGTCCACAGGACCCCCTGCAAGATATAAATGATCAAACCACTGTAATATTTACTTTCTTTTAAGTTCAAAGCAAACACTGACTGTTACATGTTATTGCATCGCCATGATATTAATAAAACTTAATGACATCAATAAAACAGTAACAAAAGTGGTCAGAGCTTTAGTTCAATCTATAAATGATGCTCAAATAAAAATATAGATGCAATTTATTGTGTTGTGCGCCAAAATTCTGTTCACTGTAACTCCAATGATGACCAATTTATGATGACATCCAAGTAAACGAATTCAGCCCGCATGGCTCTAGAATACTGTCAGTTTGTGATTTACCGTTATTGCGTTATTGCTCAGTGGCTAACACCTTTTTAGCACTTAAAGTATACAGGTACACAACACAAAGCAGACAAACAGGCTTACCAGGCAATTGTACTGATGCTCCATTCCCAAAAATTTTCTTTCCACAAGCAGTCACAGCGCAGTAGTAAGTTCCAGTATGGTGGTGGTCAAGGATGTTCTTGGAGAAGTTGTACACAGAGCTGTGTGTAGAAGAGCTGATCTCACACTGACGGCTGCTGCTGTTCTGATGAGTGTAAATGATTTCAGGAAAGGATTGTCCTGCAGCAGCTCTGAACCAGAGCACTCGGAGTTCAGCTGCTCTGATCTCAGAGAGGACCATGCACTGCAGAGTGACTGACTCTCCTGGAGAAACTGACTCCAGTACTCGTGTTTGGAGAACTGATATGTTAAACTGGGGTTTACCTGGTCAATACAAGTAGACATAAGAATTTAGTGAATATTGGCTTTTGGTGTAAACTATTAAAGACTAACATTTTTTTTTCAAAATGCAGCAACATAGTAGCACTAAACAGGGTATTGTGTTAATCTGTTGGCTTTTTATGTACATAATATATTATCATTATACACATAACCACAATGTAAACACTAGAAATACAATACAGTGTCAATTTGATTGACGTCTTGTGAAAAATTGAGTGTAATAAAATTAACTATACAAAAATTTCATGAGTTTTCTATTGTTGTAAAGTTGTAATGTTCTACTTGAGTGTATATGTGAGACAAAAATGATATACAAAACAGTGATTTTTATTACCTCTCACTGCTAAGAATGTGCCATTAGAAAACGTAATAGTGTACCCGTCTCCTTTTCCACAGAAGTACATTCCTTTATCATCTGTAGTAGTTTGTACAATAGAGCGAGAAAAACGCTGGATTATTTTGAATTTGTTTGATGAAATAGTGGGGTCTCTAGCAATTGACTTTACTGCCACTTCCTGAGGTTCCTGTCCTGATCTTTGTTTGTACCAAACTCAAATGTTTTGAGAAAACTTTTCTACAAAATTGCAGTGTAGAGTAACATTTTCACCAGACTCAGCTGAGACAAATGATGCCTCAGAAAGATCCACATCTTGAGCAGAACCTATAAAATAGAATCAGATCAGAGCTCAGCTGAAAAAGAAAATAGTAGATGATATTTCAACATACCATAAATAACAAACCCAAAACATAAGAGTAAATGAGGATCTAAACCTCATAAACCTACATATCATGTAGAGATGCAAAATCAGCATCCAAATCAGAGCCATTGTGTTAAAATGAAGCTGTTCTTATTTGAAACAACCTGAAAAGGAAGTAGTTAACAACACTAACACACTGTATCAGCTGGCTGGGCTCAGAAGATTAAGTTTATTGGCTGTCACGGGGTCATTTTTCCTGTCTGCTCTTCTTTTCACTCATGTTTGGCCACAAGAAGTTCCTTGGCCTCTTATAAAAAGCCTCTTAAAGCTCCAGCAGAAAGTTACTACATGACATGGTAACAAATACGTATGATGCATGATGAATGAAAAAGTGTTTTAGAACAGTTTTGAGAAAATGTTTTGGACTAAAATGTATCTTTGTAAATAGTTCATGGTGAAGTTGTACACGCTGGTATCTAAGACATCTTTATAGTGCATAATCAGTTATATTAACCAATATATAAGATAAGGTGTTCCATTATCAGTTTTAAATTTGAATGACTTTAAAATACTTTCTCTACTGAACATGAAGGCAGTGAAGTGCTGCCACTCTTCTGGGTTGATGTAAGAACTCTTTCTGCTGATTCTGTACATTCTGTAGTTTGTCTGTATTCTATATGGAGATGCCAGTAAATAATGCATTACAACTTATTAATATTGTGCCATGTGAGATGAATCCTGACCAAAATTTTCTTCTTCAATTAACAAATTCACATCAATGAGCCTGAAATACTTTGTTTACATCTCAACAATTTAAATACTTTTAAAGTTTGAAAAATAGGTGGAATTCATCTTAAATCAAAGGTGGGAGTTTAAAAACAAGACCAAAATTATAAAAATAACTTGGTTTAACTCCAATGATCTCATATATTCCTCCAAAATATCTTGCTTTCAGAACTGGATGAGTAAAGAATACATTCAGCAATTAATAAAAACCTCCGAGCAGATATAGAATTATATCCAGGATAATGAAATATGTATTTTAGAATGACCAAGTCAAAGTCCCATATATCAGACAATGTTGCTGTAACTTACATGTCTGTGCTTATATGTAATATAGTCACTGAAGTGTCAGAGAAAAGAACTATGAAACCACAGTAGATACCCAGAGCACGGCCAATACTCACACTGCCTCCTACTGGTAACAACAGGCTTTTGCACGTTCTAATGGCAAACTATAGTCCACTTACAAGAATGTTAAAATGTCAGATAAAAAAATATGAAAAACAAAAACATATAAACACACCTGCAGCCACACTTTGAGAGATTCTCATCAATCAAACTTCTTTGATCTGAAGCAGGCCAGACAAGAAAGTCTTCACAGAAATATTATTTTAACCATTTGTTTCAGTAAAAGTATGACACTGTAAACTGTTGTGTTTCTTGATTAATAAGATCCCTTTTATTTATTATCATGACTTTGATGATCAAAGCCCATATTTAGAAAGAGCTTTAAAATGTCTGATTTCACTCTGATTTCAAGTTCATTCTGTTTGGTGATTAATAGCATCTTTAATAAAGTTTCTCAGCTTTGACCACATAGGGAGCAGCAGATGAAGTGACCCTCTGCTGATCAAAGTGGGTGTAACATGAAAAGTGGTAATGCAATAAATCTTTTCTGCTGTTTTTGGTCTGTTATACAGGCAGACAAATTAGACAAATAAAGTCGTCATAGGCATTTTTGAAGCATTGGAATTTTTTTTCATAAAATATTTTTTATGTAAATTTACCTTCTGACTGCAGAGTACCTCAAGTACCAGTACCAGGGACTGATGGAGCAGGAAACAGTCTTGGGCTGAGAGGCCTGTAGCATGTAACTCACGTGCATTCTCCTATTGAACGGTCATATTATGATCAAATGAGGCAGTTTTCCTGTCTGACCTTTCACAGTAATTGATAATCATTGATCTCATTCATAAGACAATGATGATCACAATAATTGGTCAATAATATTAACAGGTAATGCTAAAACATATGAAATGTCTCTAATACTACAAGAATTAACAGTCGGCCCATTTAGAGTTGAGCTTTTAGAAAATAGCTTACAGAAGCACCTTGTGGAACCTTGTGTGTATTTCGCTCACTCGCTCACTCGCTCACTCACTCACTCACACACTCACTCACTTACTCACTCAGTCAATTAGCCATCCAATCTAAGATTTTCCACAAAAAGGAGCTATTAGTTCTCAATTAGGTTTTGATTTGTATTATTCATGTTAGATTTTGCCAGAACTTTCACCAAACCTCACTGTAAAAAAATTAACTTTCATGTGACTTTTTTTCTAATAAAACAGTTTGATCTGGTATATAAATAGAGTTAAAGTTTCAACTTTCACTCTCAGCCCATAAAGTCCATACATGGAAACGCTGTTCACTGTTTTTGTGATGTTATAAAAATCAATACATTTACATATATCTGCCTTATCAGCCCCGCCCATTAACACTGAAGTTATAAGGAGTGTTTCAGCCTGGACTGCTTTCTGTATGAGGCACAATACAGGGCAACTAATTAGAATGGAGAGAATTTGCATATCTCGATTTTAAAAAGGCACAGCTTGTTTAATTCTAAGGGAAGAAGAGAGGTTGGAAAATACTCATGCAAAAATGAACTATGACTGCTTTTAGTACATAAAACCATACATGTAGAAAAGGTGGACTTCTGGGTAAAAGATACAAAACAGGACAAATGTAGGATATGGGCCTTTTAATAAAGAAGACAACAAGCAGGATAAGATTAGAGTAACTAATTATAAAACTATAACATTGATGACATCTTAATGAATGAACTAAATGGAAATCAGTTGAATTTACCTTCAAAAGATAATAACAAAGAAAATCATGAACAATAATATGTTTTTGACATTAAAAACTGAGTCTAATATTCAGGAGGAATATGTAACCTGTATGTATTAGAAAATGAACAAAATTGCTGACAAATTGTAAACAAATACAGAAGTAAATTACATTTCTGAAGTATTTCAGCAAAAATCAAATTAAAAGAAGCAACAGCTTTAATTTAGGTGAATATTATGTAGTAATAAAAAAACATGGAGGAATAAAGCATTAATGTTTCAACACAGCTCTTCCCTACACAGACATTTATCCTAATGACTGACCATCTCATAAAGACCCTCCTCTCACTGACAGTTTTGTATTTCTAGGCACAATCACTGAAAACTTTTTATGAGAGCAGATGTTCTATTTATGTTAAAGTTGAGAAACACAAACACCTGACATGAGTTTTATTTTCAGTCAGTTTCTTTGTTATCAGAGTACCCGACTCCACCTCCTCCACCACACTGAATGTGCAGATAATGATGCACTGCAGGTAGAACTTCTCTAAGCTTCGCTTCTATTAAAAATAAGTAAAAGAAAATAAATGAGTTACAATTAATGAGTTGCAGTTAATGAGTTACTCTGCGGTCATTAATAGAGGAGCCCCTCACTGCAGAATACAGAGTGTCTTCTTGTGGCTGTTCTCGTTTTCCTCTTCCTCTTTTAGTTTTCTTTTCATGGAAATTTAGGGCTGCATAATTCAGCTCCTCAGCTTCATCATCCTGCAGTAACAGACATGAGAGTTTAAATAAGAGCTCTTATATATCATTGATTTTGTACATGTAATGTCAGTAATAATGGCACTAAAGCAGTACCTGATTGGTCGTCTTCTCTTTGACTGAGTCTTTAAGTTTCTCTGAAAAATTACAAATTAAAGCAGAATCTTTATCTTTATCATGTTTGCTGCATTTTCACACATTCACTACATTCAGTTTTGAATCACTGTTTTTAATAACACAGAATCAGTTTGTTTGCACAAATGTGTATAAAATGAGTGTTACATGTTAGTTCAAAAAATTGTGTCCAGAATGATGAACATAGCTGTAAATTAATATAAAATCACTGAAAAAAACGTATAACATCAAAAATGATAATGAATGTTATTAATTATAAAATTAATATTCAGAATTCATTTTCTAAAACTGAAGATCAAATCGCATATCAGATAACCTGACCAAAAAGAGATAATTACTAGTTACATATTTACTAATTACATATTATTTATCATTAATTGTTCACTTCATTTTTCATACTGATAAAAATATCAAAGTTTTTTGTGAATAAATTGTAATATTAAATTCACACTGTTTAAGCTATTATAACACATAAAGTAATAAACATTTCCTTTTTTTTTTTTTACTTGTGCACACATGCATTTTTCACATACATGCATTTTTATTGTAACAGCTATTTATTTATTGACTTAATTACTAGTTAGTTTAGGGTTAGGGTTCCAAATAGTCTCTGGTAACATTGTCTTTTACAGTCTTCTTAATTCTTGGTATTAAGCAGGTAAGTATGCAATACAATCCAAAGTGTTATGTAATAATTGTGGTTAACATGATACAGAGTTTCAATATCATTCTTCAATTTACTCTAAAAATAACCAACAGGTTCTAGCTATTTACTGGATGAGCTCCAATGTTCTAGATAATTATTATGGATGAAATTGGGATAAGTACTACTACTAATTTACACCAAAATGCTTAAGTTCTAGACATTAAGCTGAAAAAATATGTAGTTAAATATATAATAACTGGATAATAATTGTAATCCCACACATTTAAGCAGGAAAGTAAATCAGAAAAATCAGAAAAATGCAAATAATAAGTAAGAAATATTTGTTTATTTAAAATGCCAGATTCAATTTAATATTTCGGTTACGGACACGCACATACTGCATAATACTGTTAAGCTAGAGCTGGGCGATATGGCCAAAATGTTATCACGATAAACAAAATTCATATCGTTCGATATCGGTACATACCGCGATAGATGTCGAATCATTATTTCTTTCAAGTTTGAAGGCTGATTTTTGCTCCTGGGTAATTGCTGTTTTAAACTATCCTTTATGGTCGGAACACGACAAACACTCACCAAACAGTGGAACATTTCACAGATCTGTCATGGGAGAGTGGGAAAAAGTGTCTGGTGAGCTGTTTTACCAGCTGGAAAAGCATGGCTATTTTGTAATAGTCATAATTTAAGAAAGAAAACAGATTATTTTTAGCTGGTGACGAGCGCTCAGCTACCCCGCTACAAATGACGTCACAGTATTCAGACACCAGCTAGCGACGACTGGATTTCTCTATACTATCGTAGTAGTTTAAGTGGTGAACCGTAAAATATCAACACCAGACAAACAGAGCCCTCTTTTTAGGCACGTTTAAACTGAAAGTTTGATCTACAGTATCATCAATTCTCCATGTTGTGGAGTGACAGAGCGCTGCTTCAAGTTAGCCAGCTGCTAAAAACAGCTAGCCTGGAAAGCTAGCGCTCTCCCGCTCTCCACTGCCTCACAGCTTCCTCAGTTTACTTTCGTTTAAATCAGGGCTGAAATTTACATGAACCCACTTCTTTCTTTCACTTTCGTTGCTTGGGAATGCACTAATACTAAAATATGACTGTCCGAGTGCTGTAACAGCGCTTTAGTTGTGAGGATTGTCATTGTGATTTAACGCTGCTAAAGCTTGTTAGGATGTTAGGAAAGAGGTGAGTTCGCTGTAGGACAGTATAGTTACACCACTGACCTCGTCACTCACACTCGGTCACAGGAGAAAAGATCGCCGGTCACTCCACTCAAACAGGGAATGTATAACTCGGCGTTTCAGCCGTTGCTGAAGACTCATCTTACTCGTGGCTCCCTCCCTCTCTAATCATGTAGAAAAACTCGGAAGTGCCCTCTCCTGGCGACAGCGGAGTAGCGTCGCTTTCCTTGCAGTAGAAAACGCCAACACGGCTTTCGTTAGTACATGGAGGTGTGAGAATGGTGTATTATATCGAACATTTATCGAACATGTCGTATCGCTCTATCGAAGAAAAGTTATATTTCGATAATTATCATTATCGTTTTATCGCCCAGCCCTATGTTAACCCCATAAACTACCTGCAACTCAGAGAAATGTCTGATTTACTTTACTCCTCAAACATGACACATTACAGTTTAACTGAGTGTTTCTCTTTACCACCTTGTTACTCCAAATAAATATCTAATTATGAGTATTTTACTATGGCATTTCTCCGCATAGTTATGCATTACATTGTATTTTAGTCATTATTTTACCCAAAATAGTTACACAGCACTGTGGAGTTTGTAGCTCACAATAACACAGTTAATATCTACAAGCTGAAACTGACCATCATGTTATCTAAAATAAATACCCAGAACTTTGGAGTTTAACTTGTTACCTGTACTTTGAATTTAGATGACTGTAAAAGAAAGTGTTTTCTAGTTTTTGAGTTGGATGAATTTCTCATATAATGGATCACTTTGATGAAAAAATGAGGATTTTGTTTTGTGACTGTAGTGAAAACTCACCACTGCAGTGTTCACAGTTTCTCCATTTACAGTTTAAAATGGTTTGGACAGAGATCACAACCACACACACTCCTAAAGCTGCTCCCAGACAGATCACTACAGGATCCAGAGGCCGTGCTGAAGAACATGAATGATCAACATTATAAACACCTTCAATCAATATCAAATATTAATATAAAAAATTCAATGAATAATCAGGCACACTTGGGCAGTGTACACATCTCACAGCAGGTTCTGCACATCTCCAGAAAACGTCTTCACAATAGCTTTTTGAGTGGAGCTGTTTTCACCACACCTTTTTTTGTTGTTGTTGTTTGGGCGCCCGGTCAAATGACATTTTGTTGGTTTTCAACTTGAAAATAAGTTAAAACTTCTACAGAGAAAACACTTCTGCACATTTTAATGCATAATTACTTTTTCTTTATTTGCTGAATTTAAAAAATTTAAGAAATAAAACATAATATATAACCTGTGCAAAACTTGTGGCACATTTAGTATTTTATGTTTTCATTATGTTACACTCAGTAAGTAAATAAATAATTAATAAAAAAATAAAAAATAAACAATAAAATATTCTGCACTAAAATTTACAGAGAAGTGGCACATTTAAATGTGTTCTCTGTAGAGGATGTGTTCGTGTATTTTTAACAAACATGGAATTTGAGCAGGGTGTTCAAATTTTTGCAAATGAATATTTTTACAAAGTGCCTGAAGTTTGCAAAATGACAGTTAACAAAAACTTCAGGCTCTTTCACTTATGACTGTTATTAACATTAGGAAGATGACAGAACAACCATGACATTTTGCTTTCTCTTCACCTCTCTGACCTCATGTTGAGAGATAATGAAAAGTTTAGTCCCATGTTTGCACTCCAACAAAGTAAAAAGTCATAGATGACAATTTAGCAGTCCTTTGATATTTAAAGAAAAAGGAAAATGGACAGTTATGGAAAAAGAATTCCACAGGTGGCAGTGATTACAGCACACAGACAAAAATATTGTTATATCTAAATGCTTTTTTCTTAAAGAAAATACATTTACAGTGAATAATTTTACTGAAAACTTACTCAGTTCTACTGCTGTTCCATTCCCAACAATGATCTTCCCACAAGCAGCCACAGCGCAGTAGTAAGTTCCAGTATGGTTGTGGTCGAGGATGTTCTTGGAGAAGTTGTACACAGAGCTGTGTGTAGAAGAGCTGATCTCACACTGACGGCTGCTGCTGTTCTGATGAGTGTAAATGATTTCAGGAAAGGATTGTCCTGCAGCAGCTCTGAACCAGAGCACTCGGAGTTCTGCTGCACTGATCTCAGAGAGGACCGTGCACTGCAGAGTGACCGACTCTCCTGGAGAAACTGACCCCTGTACTGGAGTTTGGAGCACTGAGATGTTTAACTCAGGATAACCTATTTAAGAATATAAAATTTAAAAGATATTGTTTCACTTAAAGTGTGAATATAAACTACCCAGCACTGATATATAAATCACATGAAGTCACGTTCTTGTTACATATATTGCTGGTGTGTAGCATAAAAATCTATGACTGATAGTACTTTCAAAAGATACAAGCACAATCAACAATCTATCCTCTATATTTACAGTTATGTTAGAAATTCAACATCATTAACTACAGCAATGTTTCCCAGCCCTGATCCTGGAGTCTCACTGCCCTACTACATTTTCACTGCTCTAACAGACCTTATGCTACTAATCAGTTCATTAACAAGCGCTTGTTTCAGATTGTTTCTAATCTCAAAACATTAGCTGAATGGATGTGGTGTAATTAATCCAGATATTTACTTTTCATTACTGCAGTGCTGAGATTTACTCCCCTGGAAACATTTTGAGGTCAACAAAACCAATTTTATGTCTTTAGCTTAAGTTAGAGGAAAGAAAATTACAGTACAGGGCGATACAAAAAGATTCATTCGATTTCAAAGGGCCATATTTTTACAACCGTGAAGCGCCTAGGAACCAATTGAAAGAGGGGGTCATAGAGTTTCTGACTGTCACTCGAAGATGGCTCCCTTCAGTCCGCAAGGAGATGTGACCCCTGAGCAGAAAGCGTTTTTTGCATTCTCCACTTCAATAAGAGTGAAACTGTCTTAACTGTGCAATGTACTTTTCGTTGGCAGTGAACCTCCAACAGCTCAGAGCATTCGTCGTTGGTTCCACAACACTGAATGATCTCCAAAATCGCATTGAAAGAACTGTGAGTGCAGTGACATCCAGCATGCTCAATTGAGTATGGGATGAATTTGATTATGGTGTTGACGTTGTCTGTAAAGCTGGAGGACGTCATACTGAGCACTTGTAAAATTACATAATACATTTTATGCTCACTTAGACCATTTACAATTTACTGCATTGCTCTGTAGTGATGAGCAAGTGAAATAAATTATTTTTGAAATCGGATTTGCTGGTGAGAAGAGAAAATGATCTAATTTTCTTTTTAAATGAAAATTTACAGAAAACAAATTTAGACTATGGGGTAAGAAATGAAATGAAAAATATAATTTAGTTTAATTTTCATTATAAAGACAAAAAGTTGTTCTCTGGAGTTTCTCTGACTACCTGGCATTAGTGTTGCATGCTAACTATAGTGACCATTAGCTAATATCAGACTTTTTTTAGTTGTCTTACTGGTTTCTATGAAAGTTTTGAAGCTCCGAAAGAGTTACATCATCATCTGATCTTTTCTATCATGTCTAATAATCAATTACCCTTTAAAACTGTTGTTCAATGTTCAATGTCATTGTTTTGTTGTCATAATAGTAATAATAATAATAATAATAATAATAATAAAGTTAACATTTAAAATGTTTCTATTTTAGAGTCATTTGTCTTTTAGCATACTTTATTAAAATAAAGTGAATTTATGAAATATATATACACATAAAATATATAAAACATATAAAATATTGCTGTGTTGAGTATTAACAGAGTTTTTTTTTTTTAATGCAAAGAGTAGAAATAGTGGCATAAAAAGATTTGCATGCAAAAGTTTGGGTCCCCTGGTCAAATTACATTTTGTTGATTTTCTAAATAAAAATAAGTTACACAACTTCTACAGAGAATAAACATATTTTTCTGCTTATTTATTTTGATGTTTTGCTGAGTTTAACACATTGGAAATGAAAATGTGCAGATGTGTGTTCTCTGTAGAGAATGTGCTCTCACTTAGGGGAAAAAAAAGGGTGCCCAAACTTTTGCATGAGACAGAAAATGATGCAGTGAAATATAAATGATAAATTGATGAAAGATTCACTAGGGGGCTTCTTACCCCAGAGTATGAGTAATAAGTAATCTTTTCAGGATTTTTCTATTTTATTCTATAAAAACAGGACTGTGTGCTGTTCTAGTTTAGTTCCTCTAACTGTGTGCAGGTTTATCAATCATCATCCTGTATAGGATAAACTCATGTACTGATATGATTTAGCTTCACAGTAAATGGACCTCATTGTTAAAAAGGACTTTTATTCCCCTCACTGCTGTTAAAGGTTTTTAAATTACTGTTAAAAACTGTTTACATTAACAGATGATGATGTAAATATGATGATTACCTGTCACAGCTAAGAAAGTTCCTGTGGAAAACTCAATAATATTCCCTTGAGATTTACCACAGAAGTACATTCCTTCATTGTCTTCAGTAGCACGTTTAATATTCAGAGAAAAGCTGCTCTTGTTTGCCTTCAGTTCCATTCCTGGTTGCTTGAATTCTGGATAAATGTCTACGCCTCCTAACACTGTTCCCACCAGCTGAAGAGTCTGTCCCAGTTTATGCTTATACCAAAACAATTGCTCTGTACTCATGTGTTCCTCAAATGTGCAGTGAAGTGTAGCAGCTTCACCAGCTTTGACTGATAAAAATGGCTTCTGATGAAGATCTACAGCTCGACCAGCACCTATAAAATGAGTTCAGGTCAGATTTAACTCACTTAGGAGAAACAAGAAAAATCCTTTTAAGAAAAGCTTGTAAAACGTACCTATTCTGTAAAGACTGGCAATAAGAATCCAGATGGGAGTTATCTTCATAGAATACATTGGATTATTTGAAGTGAAATGTTTAAAGGAAGTCAGAAGGTCGTTTCTGCTGTGTGACAGAAGGTAATTTGAACAACAGAAGTTCACTGGGCGTCTCTTTATGAGCTCACTGTGTCATCAATAGTGAAACAGCCAATGAACACCTGTATTCAGGAAGTGTCACCTCACAGAGAAAGAACTTGATTTGAAGTCAAAATACACTTGCATTTAGTATTTTATGAAAAAAGCAGAAATACTTTGTTTCCAAACACAATTTTCAATTATTTAAATAGTAACAAAATATTCTAGGTAATAGATCAGTTTCACTGGGTCTTTCACTGTAGTTAATGTGTTAATAATGTGTTGAAACAATACATTTTAACCCCACTAATTTTCTTAACGCTGTCAACACATTTGACTCTTTAAAGCATCTGTAGTTCCAGCTTAAAAGAGAGCAAGAGAAAGCAAGAAAGAGAGAGTTGTTCAGAGTTGCTCCCGTTGTTCATCAGTGATGAAAATTTGAAACTGTTTTTCTTTTTTTCATATTTACTATGTTTTTTGTGATTTTATGTTCAAGTTAATTTCATGTATCTGGTGATGGAGAGTGTCTTCATGCACTTCACCATGTTAAAGAATGAGTAATGAGTAAGTTTATATATATATATATATATATATATATATATATATATATATATATATATAGTAGGCTTGACCACACAGGCGGCTACATGCACAGACTCACAGTAGATGCGTGCCCTCCTGAAAACTGACTGTTTGTGTTGTTTATTGTTGTTTGTTAGTTTAGATTATGTGTACATGTTTTATGTGTTGTTCTGTGTTGGGGAGTGAGTTTAGGTGGGGGTGTTTAGTGTGTCACAGTGAAGCCTGTGGCTGGTGGTGACCTCAGAGTTCAGTGTTCTGTATGTGTCTTTCTGCTTGTGTGTTTAATAAAGAGCACTTCTCTCAGTGGAGTCATGGCCTCTCTGTGTCTTACTCAACACAGATGCTACAAGTGTTGCAAGACTCTCACAATCTCAGTAGTTTCTGGTCAAAGACATGCCTGTGATGTCAGACATTAGGTGCTTTCATCTATTACTTCCTCTCTGTGTTTTGAAAGATTGTTATATGCTGCAGTTTTTAGACTCTAACCACCGAATGAGTATGAGGGTCCACACTTTTGTATTTACCAGTTTTCTGCACACAACCAGTGTTTCATTAGAAGCTTCAGAAAGAAAAACAATTAGAAATTAAGTTGAATAATACAGGTGTATCACAGTGCAGAGCACTCAACACACTCATCACTATTTAGATTTTCCTCTTGGAGAAATGTACATCAGCTTATTACACTGCCTGACTTTATTTATTAATGATCCTGTAGGGGAAATAAAAACAAGTAAAGAAAAGTTTAAGCCATTACTAGTCTTGCCTTAATCATGATTTTGTAGTATAATTAGTAATAAAATGATAACTTTCTAGTGGAGACACAAAGAAGCAATTGATTAATAACAAGAAACCAGTAGATTAATTAACAGATAATCAATGAGACTAACTCAAAAGTACTATCTCGTTCTTATGTTACCTCTTTATATGAGTAAACACACCTATCAGTTCATTATCAGTGTAATAAGCAGCAGTTAGTTCACAGTTAATGATGTATGAACTTATAACAAATGAAACTTAAGACTTGTCACTTACTAATTACTAAGCATTTAATCAATAACAAAGTAATAACTATTGCCTAATGACCAGTTAACTAAAATATAAATAATTAATATTTATTTGTAGCATATAATTATCAAATAATTAAACATAGTGTAATTATTTACACTATTAAATAGTGTTTAATTGTTAAGTTCATCCAATATGTTAAACCAATATTTACAAACTAACATTTACAGAAAAATGCCATATTTATGTGTATTCTCTGTAGAGGATGTAACTTATACTTCACTTAGAAAATCAACAAAATACATAATTTGCCCAGGTGTTAGCTAAGATTTGCATATAACTGTATTAGAAAGCCACCAAAATATTTGGACAAAAATTGGCAATACAAGGGGTCCAAGCATCCTGTCAGCTTAATGAGAACTAATGTGGCATTTGGTAAACACTTCAATTCAGAACAACTAACAATTTGACCATTTTACACAGGTAGGCAAAGGTACTGTTAGGAGTCTTGCCCAATGACCCTAACTGGTATAGTGTAGAGTGCCTGCTGAGACAAAGGAGAGAACTCCAGTATGCAGCATAGAAGACAGAGGTGTTACACACTACACTACACCAACCACATGTGTCAGACTGGGGCTTTTTTGCAAACATAGGATAAAGCATAGTCAGTCACACAGTTAATCAAAAATCCTGTATATGTCATGATCATTGATCAAGAGCCTTCAATTAAGATACTTTTCCAATGTTGTAGAGATTGACCTTTTGACCTTTGCATACTAAGCTGCAGACTTGGAATAAATAAGTCATTTTGCATGCTGCATCTGAATATCAATTCAAATAAGTGATGAAAATTTTCAGGTGATAAGAACAACTTTGTTTGACTATGGTGGGCAAAAATGTTTTAAGTATTTAGCTCCAGATGTCACATATTATTTCAAGATTAATTTTGAAATAATCAGATAAAAATCCCAAAACTAGCTTGAAAAAGGCGAGCTTGAAAAATAATATATAGTTTCATGACATTTGATCAATGGTAAGTCTGTCAAATGCTTGCAGAAATCTGTTTGGGTAAAGTTGTCCACAATTCCAATTATCATTCCATCCTTAAAAACTCTCTTATAAGTAAAATAAAAAAAAATGCAGTGTGTGAAATTTCAGCTTGATTGGATGAACATATGCTGAGAAACAGCTAGTTAGCTTTTACAGTACCCCCTATTGACATATAATTTTGATTTAGTGTGAGCCAAGAAATCAGTAACACCCAGAATGAGGTCTGTATGCCTCATAGTGCGATGTATGTAAAACACTATACTGTATCACCCTCTTCAGGCTGATCAGGATCATCTCATGTGCCTCAGTAGCAGGAATAGGTATTACTTATTAATACTCGTGAGTTTCATGTGTGTCTGGCTTATAGTTTAGTTTGTATAAGAAGAGTAAGTTCTGAGAATCTGAGCAAAAAACAATAGGGATCCAGAAAATCAGAAAATTTTGTGCTTGGACCCCTAGAAAAGAAATCACTTAGCCAGTAACATGTCAAGGATGCCAGCAAACTGTAAAGTAAAAAGTGAAGGAAAGCAATAGTTTAATTTTAGAGCACATTATGTAGTCATAATGACATTTTAATATAATAATAATAATAATAATAATAATAATAATAATAATAATATAAAATGTGTAAGACAAAGCCATTTAAGCCATTGATGATTAATTTAATCATTCATTATGTACTTTATTACAGCTTTTCTTAGACAAACATTTAGGTCAATAATAGAACAATAATATGTTCAACACTGGTAGAAACAATTTCTCACTTTTTAAATAAGAAACACAACAAGGTGTTTAATTGTCAGTCAGGTTGGTACCTGGCTCGTCCTCCTCCACTGCACTGAATGTGCAGATGATACAACTAATAAACACAGAAATTAATGAGTTATTTTGTGGTCGTTAACAGAGGAGCCCCTCACTGCAGAATACAGAGTGTCTTCTTGTAGCTGTTCTCGTTTCCCTCTTCCTCTTTTAGTTTTCCTTTCATGGAAATTTAAGGCTGCATAATTCAGCTCCTCAGCATCTTCATCCTGCAGGAACAGAGATGAGAGTTTAAACAAGAGCTCTTATATATCATTGTCTTTGTTCATGTCATATAAGTAATGATGGCACGAAACGACCTGATTGGTCGTCTTCTCTTTGACTGAGTCTTTAAGTTTCTCTGCTGAATTACAGCTACAAGCAGGTCAGCATCTTTATTATGACAGATTTTTGAGCAGTTCATGATACAATCACTACAATTCCAAAGTTTGAAGTCATGTTTTTTAAAAAATATGCTATCAATTTAGCTGCAGAGCGATGTATAAAATGATTGTATTATGTCTTCTGTAATTCACAGGTTTCAGATAATAGGAAGCTGTAAATAAAAGCTATGTTCAGAATGATGAAGGGAGTTTTGGTGTAACGTACTTATTTACTTGCTTAATGCCTAGTACCACTTTCCTTTAATGTCCTCTAAGATCTAGGGATTGAGATAAAAATTTCAAAGTACTAGGTAATTATTAGGTACTAGGTAAAATGAGGAGAAGTACCATGACAAAACTACAATGGAATGTATAACAAATTCTAGTCAGTACCATTTCACATCATACAATTTATGACCTTGTTACTCCAAAGAATTTTCCTATTATTAGATATTGTACTAATCCTTTTATCTGCTGAATATCTAGAACCTGTTATGGAAATGCAGTGTAACTTAGTTACTATCATTTTGTCGAAAAATAGCACTACGGTATTTGTACCAAAAAATACCACATCTCGAACTTAGAGGCCTGTCAATGAAAGTGTTGTCTAGTCCCTTATATGTTGGATGCTTCATTTGTAAGCAGAATACTGATTATTTTAATGGGGAAAAAAAGTGGATTGAAATTAAGGATTTTGTTATGTGACTAAAATGAAAACTTACCACTGCAGTGTTCACAGTTTCTCCTTTTACAGTTTAAAATGGTTTGGACAGAGATCACAACCACACACACTCCTAAAGCTGCTCCCAGACAGATC